CCTGCTCCCCCTCGAAGTCACAGAGTGCCTCCACAGGGATGGCCTTGAGCGGCGTCTCCCGGCGGTACCTGAGAGGCACCACCTGTTGGCCTCGCTTCTGCAGCCCCCGCACCACATCCTCATACTTGTCCAGCACCTTCTCCTGGTCCTGGAGAAAGTGGGGTGGGGGACCAGGGTGAGACCAACAGCCTTTCCCCTGGTGGGAGGGTGCCGAGTGGGGGCTGGGATCAACAGGCCGGGGCTGTGGAGGGGCCTGTCCAGTGCTGAGGGTGGGCCTGGTATAGAGGGGTCCCCCGCTCCCCTGCCCCAAGCCAGCAGGGTCCTGGGCCATCGCTCACATCCAGCTCCCTCAATAGCAGCTCAATCTGGTACCGGTCCTTGAAGTCAGGGCTGTATTTCTGGTTTAGGTCCAAATCCACCTTGCGCAGCAGCTCCTGAGCGTCCTTCATGTCTTTGTGGAACTAGGGGAGAATGTGGCCCTGTCACAGCCAGGAAACCACTAGAAGCACCTGGGCTTCTGTCTGAGGCTTCAAGCTCATCCCTCAGATGGGCCCCTGTGCTGAACCTGAGGCTCCCTTCGTGGAGACAGTCCCACCCTCCCTGAGCCAGCTCCTTGGGGAGAAGCCAGGTCCTTTCCCACCCATCCATGAGATGCCACCTCTGTGACATGCTTCCTTTCATATACAAGTAAGTTTTGGGTGTCTTTGATTCCGTTCCTCTCTCTGTACTAGGAATACCCAGACTTTATACCTTCTTTCTAAGTTTTGATAATAACCTCCCTTTTATGTTCTCAAAAATTCTCTGTTCCATTCTTTAGTCTATGAACTCTTGGGTCACTGTCCGCTAACCCCTGGCCCAGTGATTTGCCCCTCTCCTGCATGAACCTTCAAGGGGGTGAGAGCGGTGTGTCAGTGACCCCCCTCTCCCCACAGGCCACGCACTTGGGCTGCAGCTATGAACAGCACCTGAAGCCCCCACCGTGCAGCTCAGATAGTGAACGAGGAGGGACATGGGGTCGCCCACATCCAGCTTTCCCCAGACACCTCACTCCTAAGAGTCACCCGCAGCTTGTTAAGAACTCTCATTCCTCTGTAACCAGACAAGCATCCAGCCACAGATGAGTGGATACACGCTGGTCTCTCTGTACAATGGGATATGATTCAGCCATGAAAAGGTGCGAAGCACTGAAAATGATACGACATGGATAAACCCGGAAAACTTGATGCTCAGTGAGACAAGCAAGACACAAAAGGGCGGAGACTGCATGATTCTGCTTATCCTTCACATTCACTCTAGATGTGAAACATCTGGAATAGGCAAGTCCATAGAGACAGCAAGCAGACCAGAGGTGACCAGGGCCGGGGAACAGGAATGGAGACTTACTGCCTAATGGGTAAAGGTTTTTGTTTTTGTTTTGTCTTTTTTTTTGAGATGGAGTCTCTCTCTGTTACCCAGGCTGCAGTGCAGTGGTCCGATTTTGGCTCACTGCAACCTTGCTTCCCAGGTTCAAGCGATTATCCTGCCACAGCCTCCCAAGTAGATGGGATTTCAGGTATGCGCCACCATGCCTGGCTAACTTCTGTATTTTTAGTAGAGATGGTGTTTCATCATATTGGCCAGGCTGGTCTCGAACTCCTGACCTCTGGTGACCCACCTGCCTTGACCTCCCAAAGTGCTGGGATTAGAGGCGTGAGCCACCACGCCCGGCCAGGGTTTCTCTTTGGGGTGATGGAAAGAGTTGGAATAGCTAGTGGTGATGGTTGCATTGTGAAACAATGAATGCCACTGAATTGTACTCTTGAAAATGGCAAATTGGCCAGGCACAGCGGCTCACACCTGTAATCCCAGCACTTTGGGAGGCCTGAGAGGGGAGGATCATCTGAGGTCAGGGATTTGAGACCAACCTAACCAACATGGTGAAACCCCGTCTCTACTAAAAATACAAAAATTAGCCGGGCGTGGTAGTGGGCACTTGTAATCCCAGCTGCTCAGAAGGCTGAGGCAGGAGAATCCCTTGATCTCAGGAGGCAGAAGTAGCAGTGAGCTGAGATGGCACCACTGTACTCCAGCCTGGGTGACAGGGCGAGACTCTCTTAAAAAAAAAAAGACAAATTTTGTTTTATGTATCTGCATGTATATTATAGATTTTGCAAAAATTAAAACCCCTCACACTCATCCCTGGGCCCCATGTGACCTGGGGATCAGACTCTGGCCCCGGTCACCAGGGAGGATGGACAGGGGCCAACAAGCTCGGGACATGTCTGCACATGCCATCAGAAGCATGGGCGCTGGGCACCTGAGATGGCAACACTGCAAGGCTCCTGGATCAAGCAGCACGAGGCCACGCGTGAGCCAAGGAGGCAATGGGCACTCTCAGAGAGTAGTGCCCCTGGTGCTGGGGGTGCTCCTGGAAGAGGCAGGTACCTGGTGGTAGTCCTCCATGTACTTGAGGTGGCTCTCCTCGCAGATGAGCAGGTTCAGGTACTCCTTCCAGTCAGCGTGCACAGCCTCCATGTGTGCCTACCAGCAGAAGAGGGGCTGGTCACCATTGGGCAGGTACCAGAGACGCCAAAGGAGGGACTTCTGGGATACTGGACCGGGGCATGGTGGGGGAGATAGGCATCTGGTTTCTGCCTGAGTGTGGCTTCCATAGAGGTAGCCAGCTTCTGCTCAGGGATAGGAGGAGGACAGAGGCATCACGTTAAGGAGCCAAACAGGGATGTCACGTGCAGACGCCCAGGCTGTGCGGTACACAAGGGGCAAGTGCAGGCTTCGTCTGCCTAAAGTAGTGCCTTCAGCACATCTGCGCAAAGGCACAGTCATGGACTGAATACTGTCCCACCAAATCCATGACCCTGGCTGGGCACGGTGGCTCATGCCTGTAATCCCAGCACTTTGGGATGCTGAGGTGGGTCAATCACCTGAGGTCAGGAGTCCGAGACTAGCCTGGCCAACATGATGAGACCCTGTCTCAACTAAAAATACAAAAAATGGCCGCATGTGGTGGTGTGTGCTTGTAGTCCCAGTTACTTGGGAGGCTGAGGCAGGAGAATCGCTTGAACCCAGGAGGTGGAGGTTGCAGTGAGCCGAGATCACTGCACCACTGCACTCCAGCCTGGGCAACAACGATCAAACTCCATCTCAAAAAAAAAAAAAAAAAAGATGGGACATTATTTGGAATAGGATCTTTTCAGATGTCATTAGTTAAGGATCCTGGAATTAGAGTGAGCCCTAAATCCAGTGACTGGTGTCCTTATGAGAGGACACAGAGAGACATGGGGAGAGAAGGCTGTGTGAAGATGGAGGAAGGGACTGGATTGATGCAGCCATGTGCCAAGGGCTGCTGACAACCTCCAGAAGCCGGAAGAGCAAGGAAGGCACCTGTCCTAGAGCTTCCAGAGGGAATGAGGTCCCGGAGCACCTTGATTTCAGACGTACAGCCCACAGACCTCTGAGAGAATGCATTTCTGTTGTTTAAAGCCACTAAGTTTATGGTTACTTGTTGCAGCAACTCTAGGAAACTAATACAGATCCCACAGGGGCTTCAGAAGTCCAGGAGCTGAGGGCAGAGGTGTCAACGTTTCAGGATAAACGGAGGAGACAGTCAGACAGAGCTAGATGCAGCTTGCAGGACCCCCAGCTCCAGGGTCTGCCCGAGCTCCAGGTGGCCCTCAGGCAGAGGCCGACCAGCAGCCACCCTGGAGGAGCTGTGTGGCCTTGGGGCGCACGCACCTCAATGGAGTTCCTCCCGGGGTGCTCGGCCGCCAGCAGCTGGTCACCCTCGCTGTGCAGTTTGTTAATTCTCTCCTCTTTGGCCTCCAGGTTCCGGTTGATGAAATTCTGCAGTGGGGAACAGGGGAGGAGCCTCAGTGCCCAGCCTGCCAGCCCCATGCTTCTGCCTGGTGGCCCCATGCTCCCTCCAGGGCTGCCTCCTCCCTGGCGCCCAGGCTCCCCATGCCCACCTCATACTGGCGCCGGCGGCTGGGGTAGTCGAGGTTGCGGTCGCTCCAGTCATACTGCATGCGGCCCTTGGCCTGCTGGTCCAGCCAGTACAGCTCGTTGGTGCAGCGCTGCATGTAGTCCTGCAGCGAACTCAGGTGCTGCTGCCGGGCCTGTGATGCCACCTGCAGGAGCCGGCGCAAGGACGGGGCTGCATCCTCAGCCCACTGCCACTGCTTGCTTCCCTCCCCGACTCCCGCAGGGCCCAGCTGGCCTGAGGACAAACCCAGCTTAGCCACTTCCAGGCCAGGCCCCCTTGGACAAGTCACCTGACCCCCTAAAACTCATTCACTCATTCAGCAAATGTTTACTGAGCAACTACTATGCGCCGGACGTGGCTCCAGGCACTTGGGATACAGCAGTGAATGAAACACACAAAACCCTTATGGAATTGACATTTTTGTGAAGGCTGAGTTTACCCATCTGTAAATGGGGATGATGATGGCCCAACCTCAGAGGGCACAGAGATTGGCATATAGTTGGTGCTCAATAAATATCAGTAACTACAGCTTCTACTGTTTATCATGATCATCTTATAGAGGGCTGGAAGGAAAGCACCACTTTATGTCTGAGAAGTGGGGGTGGAAGGGAAAGGAGGGATGTTTGCCTTTTGGTACACGGGGCCCTCCCCAAGCCAGCACTAAGCTAAGAACTTCTGCAACATTAACTCATTTCATCCTCAAAGCGACCCTATGAGACAGGAACACGTAGGAACTCCATTTCACAGAAGAGGAAACTGAGGCTCCCAGAGGCTAAGTAACTCACTCAGTCTCTCACCACCAACACTAAGAGGCAGAGGCGGTGTGGTTCCTAACAGCTACACGAGGCTGCCTCTCTATTCTCTGAGATGTCTGAAACACTGGCAGTGAGGAAGCATTTGCATGACACAATTTTTAAAAGAATACATTCTTTAAAGGTTTGGGAAGGAAAATGGAAAGCTTCTGTATAGAAAGCAGTGGCACCCAGCAGGTATTTAACAGGCAGTACCCCCTGGGGTCTATTAAGGTTTTCCCTGAGCAAACAGGGCAAACCTGGCACCTGCTCAGGACGGGGCTGGGACAGGTCTCTTCCCACCTTAGCCCCTCTCCTGACTGAAGTGTTTACTACACGCCTGTCTTCTTCTTCTTCTTCTTCTTCTTCTTTTTTACTTATTTATTTATTTTTTTAAAGACGGGGTTTCACCATGTTGGTCAGGCTGGTCTTGAACTCTCGACCTCAGGTGATCCGCCCGCCTTGGCCTCCAAAGTGCTTGGATTACAAGTGTGAGCCACCACGCCCGGCCTTCTTTTTTTTTTTTTTTTTTTTTTTTTTTTTTTTTTTTTTTAAGACAGGGTCTTGCTCTGTTTCCCAGGCTGGAGTGGAGTGGCACGATCTCAGCTCACTGCTGCCTCCACCTCCTGGGCTCAAGTGATCCTCCCACCTCAGCCTCCCAAGTAGCTGGAACCACAGGCATGCCATCAAGCCCAGCTAATATTGAAATTTTTTGTAGAGCTGGAGTCTCACTATGTTGCCCAGGCTGGTCTCAAACTCCTGGGCTCAAGGGATCCTCCTGCCTCTGCCTCCCAAAGCACTAGGATTACAGGTGTGAGCCACCACACCCAGCTGCTTATGTCATTTTTAGAAGAATACATCCTTGGCCAGGCAAGGTGGCTCATGTCTGTAATCCCAGCACTTTGGGAGGCTGAGGCAGGCGGATCACAAGGTCAGGAGATCGAGACCATCCTGGCCAACATAGCATAACCCAGTTTCTACTAAAAATACAAAAATTAGCTAGACATGGTGGCTCGTGTCTGTAGTCCCAGCTACTTGGGAGTCTGGGGCAGGAGAATCACTTGAAAACGGGAGGTGAAGTATGCACTGAGCCAAGATGGTGCCACTGCACTCCAGCCTGGTTACAGAATGAGACTCCTCAAAAAACAACAACAAAACAACAACAACAACAACAAAACAACAACAAAAAATATATATCTCCTTGTCCCCCATGACTCTGAGCTTCCCACCCTCTTCCTTCCCCGGAAGCCTTTTCCCCCAGGGAGCTCCTCACCAGCAGTTTCTGGTACTTGGCCCGGAGTTCGCTGTTCTGCTCCTGAGGACAGAGCCAAGGGCACAGGTCAGGGGCAGGATGCAGGTGTGGCCCCCTCCATCCCTGAGTCCCCACCACACCAGCACACGCCTCACCTTGTCCCCATCCTTGGCCAGGTGGGGCCCGATAGCCTTGACCTCGTTGTGGAAGATGTTGTGCTCCTCCACTTGGTGATCCACCAGTGGCAGGTCAGTCCCGAAGCCCTGGCTGCTCAGCTTGTCCTGGCCGGGAAGGCAGAGAAGCAACAGGGAGAGGGTGGGCTGGGGGCTGGGGACGTGCAGCCACCCCAGGAGACTCGGCAGTGGCCATGATGCTGCTCTCTTCATCACAGGACCCCGAGGTGCCACAGGGAGATGCTGGCCACACCTTCAACCCTGACGTTCTGCTTGCGGAGCACTGACCTCCATATTGCCTTTCATCTCACACAGCCTCAGAGGCCTGCAAGGTTACCGTCCCATCTCGCAGATGAGGACACAGGCTGAGTGAACAAGTCACTTGCTCAGGGTCACGCTCATAATGCTGGGGAAGCTGGCCAGGCATGGCGGCTGATGCCTGTCATCCCGGCATTTTGGGAGGCCAAGGCAGGTGGATCACTTGAGCCTAGGAGTTTGAGACCAGCCTGGCCAATGTTGGCAAAAAAATACAAAAAATCAGCCAGGTGTGGTGGCGTGCACCTGTAATCCCAGCTATGTGGGAGGCTGAGGTGGGAGGATCATCTAAGCCTGGGAAGATGAGGCTGCAGTGAGCCGTGATCGTGCCACTGTTCTCCAGCCTGGGCAACAGACTGAGACCTTGTCTTAAAAATAAATAAATAGATGAAAAATAAAATTAGGGAAGCTGAGGCTCGAACCTGGAACACCTAGCTGCAGCGGCTGCCTGCTTCTCTGTGGCGAAGGCACAAAAAAAAACAGAGACTAGCCAGAAGTCTGGCTGCTCCTACCCCAGCCTGTCCACAAAGTGTTGCCAGGACCCCAACATGCCAGGGTTGGAAGGCGGGACCCAGGAGCGGCAGCCAGGTGCAGCTGACAGGCCCCAGAATCTGAATCACCGCTGCTTGAGCTGTGTGACCCTGACTTGGTGCTGCAGTCCTCTGAGCCTCTCTTTTCCCACTGGCACACTGGAAAAACATCGGGACTGGGGATGCTCATTAAATGGTAAGGCTCTCCCTGCACACACACGGCCCCCTCCCTAGCTGAAGCCCTGGAGCCAGCGGCTCCGCCCTGGCCATACCAGCTTCTCCTCCACCAGTGCCGCCCAGTTGACCTGTGGGTCCACTTCCTTCACCGCCAGGCTGTAGATCTGCTTGTGTTTCCCGCGCAGGTTGGTCACGCGTTCCTTTAGCTGACGGATACTGATGGGAAAGAGGTTGCCTGCTTAGTGGGGCTGGTTGGCACTGCCCGTGCCCCAGGAGGGGCTCCCACCCAGACCCCGGCCTCAGTGGCCTGGAAGGACACGGTGACCATGGTCTTGGGTTCTAGACAATCTCTGCATCCTCCCACCCCCTCCCTCCCCTCCTCCCGCCCACTTTCTTTCTTTCTTTCTTTTTTTTTTTTTTTTTGAGACAGAGTCTTGCTCTGTCGTCCAGGCTGGAATGCAGTGGCACAATCTCAGCTCAGGGCAACCTCTGCCTCCCGGGTTCAAGTGATTCTCCTGTCTCAGCCTCCTGAGTAGCTGGGATTACAGGCATATGCCACCTCACCTAGCTAATTCTGTATTTTTAGCAGAGACAGGGTTTCATCATGTTGGCCAGGCTAGTCTCAAACTCCTGACTCAGGATCACCTGACCTCAGGTGATCCGTCCACCTCAGCCTCCCAAAGTGCTGGGATTACAAGCGTGAGCCACCATGGCTGCCCCAACCACTTTCCCTCAATTTTCCTTCCTGAATCAGAGTTTCCTGAGGGCTTACTAGGTGCCCAGAACCATAGAAGGTTCTGGAATAAGCAGGAAGGACCTTGTTTTCTGGAACCTGTCATCCATTAGGGCCCATGGGGTGGTGCATGCCATGCCAAAGACAAGTCTCAGAGGTCATGGGGCACTGAGAGAGCCTGGCCCTTGCTGAGGGTGTGGGGTGTGGGGCATGGGACAAGGGGGACTGATTCATCCATGATCAACTGAATGCCAAGTGAGCCAAGGAAGCCAGGGACAGGGCGCCAGGCAGCGGGAGAGCTAGCTCAAAAGCTCAAAGGTCAGGCTGGTGGCTCCAGAAAAGGGACATCAACTCCCCGAGTCTCCCTTTCCCTAACTGCAAAATACGGTTGTCAAGAAGATCACATGAGCCTCTGGCACGTGCCTGGCACCTAGTTAGCCCTTGATAACCTCTGACTTGGGCTCCCAAATGCTGAACAGGATCCCCAGCCCTGGCCCACAGCCCCCGACCGCTCCCCTGAGACGAGAAGTGGAAGGGACCTACTCCTCGGCGATCATGTCTCCCTGCGGGTGCTTCATGTGCTTGGCGATGGCCGCATCTGCCTCCAGCAGGTAGAGCAGCTTCTCTGAGTCCAAGACCTTCTGCAGGGTCACGTCCCGTTGCTCAGGCTGCCGACCCTCCTGCAGCCGAGCCACGTCCTGTGAGGGTCACAAGAGAGGGGACAATGGACAGGAGCTGAGAGCGGGCACTGTGGCAACGGGAGGGGCGGGATGAGCCCCAGTCAAAGGATGAGCCTCAGGCCCGCCTGTAATCCCAATACTTTGGGAGGCTGAGGTGGGCAGATCACGAGGGGTCAGCAAGATGCTTCCCTTCTTTCCCTTTTTCTTTTTTTTTTTTGAGACCAAGTCTCGCTCTGTCGCCCAGGCTGGAGTGCAGTGGCGCCACGGCTCACTGCAACCTCCGCCCCCTGGGTTCAAATCATTCTCCTGCCTCAGCCTCCCAAGCAGCTGGGATTACAGGTGCCTGCCACCACACTGGGCTAGTTTTTGTATTTTTAGTAGAGATGGGGTTTAACCATCTTGGCCAGGCTGGTCTTGAACTCCTGACCTCTACCCACCTTGGCCTCTGAAAGTGCTGGGATTACAGGTGTGAGCTACCATGCCCAGCCTCCTTCTTTCCCTCTGAGTAACGCCTTCCAGGCTTGTCTAGATAGCACAGTCAGTAGTTCCATCTCTTTGTTGCTAAGTGGCATTTCTCGGTTCACTCTGCAAAGTGGGTATTTTCCTTATGCCCCTTCCAGCCTGTCCTTAAGTACCCAGCAAACAGAGCTCAAGCACCTACTGTATGCCAGGTGTTGGGACACAGCTGTGAACAGGAGAGACATGGCCTCCCTGCCTGGCACTCACAGCCCAGTCTGCGAGACCACCAGGAAGGCCAGTCACAGGATGAGCCTCACAGAGGTGATTACAAGTCCCTCCAGGTCAGTGTTTATGAAAGAAACGCACGAGAGGCGGAACGAGGGGGACCCGCCTCAGCTCTGGTGGTCAGGGAAGCCGCTCTGCGGCAGAGACACAAGCTAAGAACAAAGGATGAAAGGGACAGGTGTTCCAGCCACAGATGGCCTGTGCAAAGGTCCTGAGGCAGGAGAGAGCAAGCTACAACTAAGCTGTGGTGAAAGGCCGCTGTGGATAGAGAGGAAACAGGGCAGGTGGGGGGCCAGAGCACAGAATGGCTGCAAGGAGGGGTCCTGCATAGCTCCACTTGTGCTTAAAGGGGATGCCTCCAGGGGGTCTGTGGGGAGAGTATGTGGGTAGTGAGGCTGTGGGCTGGGAGAGCAGGCAGTGGTCTGTGGCAGCAGCCAGGTGACAGCAAGGTAGCACCAGTGAGAAGGAACAGAGCGGGGGCAGGGGGGAATATCTGGGAGGGGCCATCGATGGTTGCCGATGAGTGCAGGGCTTCTGTTCATTCAGGGAAGAGTGATGAACGGCAGCCAGGACAGCAGGTTTCTCAACACAGTGGGTTAATTCACTGTGTCAATACAGTATTTGAGAAGCCCAGCTGTGAGTCTGCACCATGCTGGGTCCTAGGGATGAGCCCCTGAGTGATCCCCAGTCCCACAGGGGAGGCAGTCACATGTCAGTGAGGGGACTGAGTACAGGTTGGCTGACGCTGGGGCACCCAGAGGTGGCCGCCAATCCCATCCCCTGGCTGGGTCTCAGCATCCCCATCTCTACAATGGGCATAAGGAAAACACCCGCTTTGCGAAGTGAACTGAGAAATACCACTTAGCAACAAAGAGCAGGAACTACGGACCGTGCTCCATGTGAATGAGCCTGAAGAGGTTATTCAAAGGGAAAGAAGCCAGGCAGAGCCCACATGATGTGGGATCCATTTACGTCAAGTGTCCCAAATAGGCAAGTCCAGAGAGACAGAAAGTCTCTGTCTCTTAGTTGTTGCCCAGGGCAGGGCTGGGAAGAGGCATTAACAGTAAATAGGAACAAGAGATCTTGTTCCGGACGAAAATGTGCTGAAACTGATTTATGGGCATGGCTGCACCCCTTGCTAAAGTTACTCAAAATCATTGACTTGTGCACTTGAAATGGGAGGATTTTATAAGTAAACTATGTATCCATAAAGTTGTCTTAAAAAAAGAAAAAGCGGCCAAGTGCGTGCTCACTCCTGTAGTCCCAACACTTTGGGAGGCTGAGGTGGGCAGATCATGGGGTCACGAGATATAGACCCTCCTGGGCAACATGCTGAAACCACATCTCTACTAAAAATACAAAAAAATTAGGTGGGTGTGGTGGTGCCTGTAATCCCAGCTACTCGAGAGGTAGGAGAATCGCTTGAACCTGGGAGGCGGAGGGTCTGGTGAGCCAAGATTGTGCCACTGCACTCCAGCCTGATGACAGAGCTAGATTCCATCTCAAAAAAAGAGAAGAAAGACAGGCAGAAAAAGGAAAAAAAGAAGAAAAATCAGAAATACACAGAGGTGATGTGGTGCAGGTATGAAGTGAACTTGGCTTCCTATTGGAGGAAGAAAACGTGTCGAGTGTCTTTGCCTGGCTAAGTCTGGGAGGGCTGAGGGGTGAACAGGCCTGGCTCCCCAGGGGCTTGGAGGTGAGGCTGATGTCTCCAAAAGCCAGTGGAGGTCAGGCACAGTGGCTCATGACTGTAATCTCAACACTTTGAAAGGCTGAGGCAGGAGGATTGCTTGAGCCCTGGAATGCAAGACCAGCCTAGGCAATATAGGGAGACTTCACTTCTTATAAATTTTTTTTTAAAAATAGCTGGGTGAGATGGTGTGCACCTATAGTCCTAACTACTCAGTAGGCTGGGGCAGGAGAATCATGTGAATCCAGGAGTTCAAGGCTGCAGTGAGCTAAGATTGCACCACTATACTCCAACCTGGGCAGCAGAGCAAGACCCTGTCTCAAACAAACCAACATATCCAAAAAGCCAATAGAACCAGGCATCCCCCAACCCTGGGGTACGCTAGCCAGTTAATTACAACAAAACATCACACTTCTTGGCTTGGAGTGGAATTTTATCCACTCCATTATCACCAGCTTCCCTGAGCTGCAGATCAAAGATTAATTTTGCAAAAGGAGGAAGTCTATCAATCATTGCCTAATTCATGAAGCTGCCAGGTGGGAATGCAAGCGCTCTCAAAACACTGGCTGAGAGAGAAAGAGGACATCTAGCTGAGGGAGGCTGGTGTGCAAAAGTTCAAGGTCAGGCAGAACTGATCGATGCTGAGAGATTGCAATAGGGTTGACCTCTGAGGGATATTAACTGGGGAGATGGCCAGGGAGCTTTCTAGACAGTGTTATCCATCTTGCCCCAGACAATGTAACATGGGTATCTACTGATGCAAAAATTCACCCAGGTGAAGTCTTCAAATGCAGACACTTCTATACAGTTTATATAAATTATACCTTGATAAAAAAGTTTTTAAAGTCATAGGGGCCAGGCGCAGTGGCTCACCCCTACAATCCCAGCACACTGGGGGGCCCAGGCCAGGGGATTGCTTCAGCTCAGGAATTTGAGACCAGCCTGGGACACATAGTGAAATCCTATCTCTAAAAAAAATATAAAAATTAGCCAGGCACAGTAGCATGTGCTTGTAGTCCCAGCTACTTGGGAGGTTGAGAGGGGAGGATGGCTTGAGCCCAGGAGGTTGAGGCTTCAGTGAGCTGTGATCATGCCACTGCATTCTAGCCTGGGCAACAGAAGGAGACTCCATAAAAAAAAA